TGAATAGAACATATTGTTATTTAAAGCTAGGCCTTTACCTTCGTTTGGACCCCACCCTCACCCATAGGACAACTAAGATTCCCAACCACCAAGAGCTCCCTCAACATCACTCTTCCCTGGAGAGTAGCCTCATCAAGCTACCTCAGACAACTTTCTGAGATGTGTGCGTGTAGAGAGGGGTGACTGTGGCGCGGCGGCCCCTACATCATTTCCAATTCATGCCTTGGAACCTCGCAGCTCAGTCCCTGCTCTCTGACACCGGCCCACTTTACTCTTCCCCCTTTCGGGACTTTTGCTCCCACCTAATCGCCCCGCCCCCCCCTTCCCTAAACTGTCAATGCCGCCTTTTATTCTAATCATCTGCCCAAGACCCTAGGGAGCTCGGATTTTTTAACTCACCTCCTTCTGTTTGGGATCTTGAGGGTACACATCCGGAGGCCCCAGGCGCGGCCGCTTCAGGGGCCGGTGTTCGTAGCTCAAGATCCCGAAGGCCGCCATCTTGCCCAGCCCGTAGCGCCAGAGGCGCCAGCAGGGCCGGGCCGGGAGGCGGGAGGAGGGAGGGAGTCGAAAAGGGGGCGGCGGTTGAGAGGACGGCGGCCGAGAGACAACAAGGGGGCACGTTAGAAACTCTCGATTATTGCCGGAAACTACCGAGGGTAGCCGAGGGACGCCGAGAACCATCGGACAATACCGACCGCAGAGGGGCGGGGCCTGTCCCGGCACGGGGCGGAGCTCCGCGCCCCGTGAGGTTTTTGGCCTGAGAGGCAGAAAGTCAATTTCACTAGGCAAAATATCTGCGAAACGTTTAGTGAGCTGTGTATCTTGTTGAAAGTGCAGACCTGCGAAGCTCTTGACATATGTGGTACCGAGCTCTGACTGGGAATTGGGTTCCTATCGCCTATCTCTGCTTTTGTCCTGGAATGGTTTTTCAATAGTGTTTGCATTGGTTAGAACTCTTTCACAAACCACTTAGAATTCCTGCATCTGGACAATGGGTATGCTAATACTTCTTTCTGAGGACTCTTGTTCAGGTTAGAAACTAACTATGTATGCACACAAGAAAGCACCAGAAAGTTCCCAACCTTTTTTGGTTCACTAACCTTATAAAATAAGAATGAAAGCTGTAAACTTCCCAGAAAAATTTAAATACAAAATATTACATACTGGGGCTGGGGCTATAGCTCAGAGGTAGAGTGCATAGAGGTATTATGTCCAACTACAACTAAAAACAATAAATATTTTTAAAAAATGTTAGATACAGGGTAGTCTTAGACCCTGAAGTGCATCCTTGTATCCTCAATGTGTCGATGAACACCAGGTTAAGAACCCTTGCTTGAGTTAAAAAGGCACCCGTGTGACATGCTTTTCACATTTTATCACCTTTAATTCACAAATAGCCCTATGATCTAGAGATTGTTATTGTCTCCATTTTGTGGATAAGGAAGCTGATTTTTTTTCTTTTTTGGAGGGGGGGCACCCATAGGTGCATAACCACTGAGCTACATTCTGCAGCCCCTTTAATTTGTTGTTGTTGTTGTTGTTTTACACAGGATCTCCCCAAGTTGCTGAGGCTGGCTTTGAATTTGCAATTCTCCTGCCTCAGCCTCCTGCCACAGCTTCAGCCTCTGCCTCCCAGCTACTGGGATTACAGGCAGGAAAGTTGATTTAAAAAAATTTTTTTTAGTTGTCAATGGACCTTTATTTTATTTATTTATATGCACGGCTGAGAATCTAACCCAGTGCCTTACACGTGCTAGGCAAGTGCTCTGCCACTGAGCCACAACGCAGCCCTAGGAAGCTGATTTTCAGAGTTAAATTTTTCTTGTCCAATGCTTCACTTCACATCTATTAAGTAACAGAGTTGAAGCTAGGATCTTTTCTTGATTCCGGAGACAATATTCTTTCTAGTAGGGCAGATTGAACTCAGGGACACTTGACCACTGAGCCACATCCCCAGACCTATTTTGTATCTTATTTAGAGACAGGGTCTCACTGAGTCGCTTAGTGTCTTGCTGTTGCTGAGGCTGACTTTGAACTTGCTAGCCTCCTGCCTCAGCCTTCCCAGCTGCTGGGATTATAGGTGTGCACTGCCCCACCCCACCCATACCCCCACCCCAGCAGCAGACAATTACTGTTTATTTATTTATTTGGTACCAGGGACTGAACTCAGGGACACTCAACCACTGAGCCACATCCCCAGACCTATTTTGTATCTTATTTAGAGACAGGGTCTCACTGAGTCGCTTAGTGTCTTGCTGTTGCTGAGGCTGACTTTGAACTTGCTAGCCTCCTGCCTCAGCCTTCCCAGCTGCTGGGATTATAGGTGTGCACTGCCCCAACCAGCGATGGCATTATCTTTTACAGAAAAGACAGCTAGAGTACCATAGTAAAAGTAAAAAATAGCAATAACAAAATGCTATTGAATCACGGTGGGGAGAAATGTTAATCTGACTGGGAAGAGGAAAATATATTGGAGGTGGTAACATTTGACCTAACTCTGAAGGATTTAAAAAAAGAATTAATTTAGACCAGTTTTAGGTTCACAGCAATATTGAGCAGAAGTACAGAGAATTCCCGTACACCTCCCCCTACACGCATAATCTCCCCCATTATCAACATCCCTCCCCTAGAGTGGTGCATGTGGTGCATGTGGTGCATTTGTAACAAGTGATGAACTTACATTGACACAGCATTATCACCGAAATCCTGGATTTTTTGTTTGTTTGTTTGTTTGCTTGGGATGAATCCAGAGTCTTTCCATTTCCATTTCCATAGCAATGAATGAGAGTTCCTGTTGCTCCACATCCTTGCTAGCTTTGGTGTTGCCAGTATTCTGGATTTTTACCATTCTAATAGGTATGCAGGATTTTTAACTCACAGAAACTTAGGAGGTTAAACCTAGTCAGACCCAGACAGAGAGTAAACGAATAATGAGGTATATCCAGTGTGACTGCAGGTGATAGCAGCTTGCACTTTATCCTGAAGGCCATGAGTAATTTTTTATTTGTTTGTTTATTTTTGCAGTACTGGGGACTGAACCTTGTGTATGCTAGGCAAGAACTCTACTGCTGAGCTACATACCCAGTCCTGTTTTACTTTTGAAACAGGGTGTCGCTTAGTTGTTGAGGCTGGGCTTGAACTTGTGATCCTTCTGCCTCAGCCTCCCAAGTAGCTGGGATTATAGGAGTGCACCACCATGCCCAGCCATAAGTAGCTATTGAAGTCTTTTGAGCTGGATAATGCCCTCTGTAGTGGGTTGAATGGCAACCTCTGAAAAGTTATTGTCCACTCAGAACCTGTGAATGTGACCTTCTTTGGCAAAAGGTAATTAAGGTAAGGATCCAGATGAGAACATCCTGGATTAAGGTGGACCCTAAATCCAAAGACAAGTATCCTTAAAAGAGAAGAGAAGGATAAAGGGGATATAGGGGAGAAGAGGTTATGTGAAGACAAAGGAAGAGATTTGAGTAATGTGTCTACAAACCAAACAATGCTAAAATTTGCCAGCAACCACCAGAAGCTAAAAGAGGGGCATGAAACCTATTCTTCCTCAGAGCCTCCAGAAGGAACAAATTCTCAAAATGCCTTGATTTTAGACTTCTGGACCCCCGAATGTGAGAAAATAAATTTCAGTTGTTTTAAGCTACCCAGTTTGGGGTAATTTGCTATGGAAGCCTTAACGAACTAATATATCCTGGACCATATAATCCACTTTTCTTGAGACACCCAGTCAAGTGCTCTTTTCTTCCACCTGATGTCCTACCCCCTTTTCTGTCTGGTAAAATCACACTCATTCTTTCAGGTTCTGCTCAAAGAACACCTCTTGAGCAGAGCTTTCCTGAACTTCCCCTCCCCCTCCATCTTGGTAAATTTAGTTACTTCCTCTTCTGTGCTCACATACTTTGGAGTAAATGCACATCTATGTTATTGAACTTATTATGCCATATTGTGTTGTTTATGTCCTTTCTGCTTATCTATGTGCTTCTAGGATGATGAGGATGTTTTTTTGTCCGTATATTCTCAGAATATAAGCACTGTGCCTGGCACATTTTAAAGACTCAATAAATGGTTGCCGGATAAACAATTTCTGTAAATAGCTTCTCCACTCAGCTCTGTTTGTGAGGAAGGTAAATCTGGCCACAGAATGGAGAATGGATTAGAAAGCAGAGAGCCTTTAGAAAGGAAGACCAGCTAGTGGGTTCCAGTAATAATCATGACTAGAGGTAATGAAAGGCTGATTTAGCACAGTGGCTGTGGTAATGGAAAGGAGGAAACTGCTGGGAGAAACACCACAGAAGCAGGGCTGATTGGATTCTCAGGGTCAGGTGGGGGGAGTTGAAGAGGATCCTGAGGTTTTAAGTCTGGGTGACTGAGAGGGTGATGGTATTGTTAACTCAGAGGGAAGACAGGAAGAGAAGCAGATTTGGAGGAAGAAGGGGAGTCTGAAGCTAGTGTTGTTGATTCTCTATTTCTAAAGTCAGACCTGCTCACCAGTCTCCACAGGGACCCAGCTCAGGCAGCAGCTAAGGGTGGGTATTCTGGTTCAGATTAGGTCAGAGGAAAGACAGCTATATATGTGCCCGCGGGAACCAAGACAGTATTTTCCATCCTCGCAAGACAGTAGAGCTTTGATAGAGATTTAGGGGCAACTAAACCAAGTAGCATATGATGGTGGGGAGCGGTTCAGACCCTCCACTATAAAAGAAAATTAGAAGAAAGGTGGCTGGGAACAGTGGCAGTGGGGTAAACAGATCCTTCCCAGGATCTAGATGATCTGAGAATACTGAGTCTGTGACACTCAGCCTTAGTCACCACCTTTTATAGCAGCACCTGACCTCCCAGAAGACTTAGACTTGTCACTGAACACATTTGCCACACCCCCTGAAAAGCCCTGGTTTCTAAGGTTCTTTCCACCGGAAGCCATGATATAAGGAAATGTGTGGGTGGGGAGGGGTAGTGGGTGAAGGGCCCAGGTTCCCGACACAGACTACACCCGGGAAACGAAGAGCAAGCACCATGTTGAAGCCATCATTGCCACTCAGATCCTTCTTATTCCTGCAGCTGCTTCTGCTGGGGGTGGGGCTGAACCCTGTTCTCACACCCAGTGGGAATGAAGACACCACAGCTGGTGGGAAATCTGGGCCTAGAGGAGGTTGGTGGAGAAGGGGGTTATGGGAAGGGGCCATACAGAAATCTGGAACCTGACCAGTGGCTTTTACAACAATGTGGGCAGCATTGAAGAGTGGAGTGGGGAGGGCAAGGGAAGGGTACTCCACCTCACACTACTCCTTCTTCTAACTATCATTTCTTCTCTTTCCCTCCCCTACTCCCTTTTCTCCCCCACCTAGATCTCTTCCTGGCCTCTATGAACCCCAGGTCCCTTAATGTTACCTCCCTGCCCTTACCAGAGATTCAGTGCTTTGTGTTTAATGTCGAGTACATGAATTGCACTTGGAACAGCAGCTCTGAGCCCTGGCCTACTAACCTGACTCTGCACTATTGGTATGAGAAGGGAAGAGGGGGTTTAACAGGGGAGAAAGAGGAGGCGGGTTGGATGAGAAGGACTGCATGGGGACCTAGAAAGAGGGTAGCCAGTCTCCCAGACAGCCCACTATTTTCTCATGGAATTTAAGTCAGTTCAGACTAGGCGAGGCTAGGCTGTAGTCAACTGCAGCACCTAAATTTGCCCCACCATTCCTCTTCCTTCCAACCTTTCTCTAGGTACAAGAACTCTGATAATAATAAAGTCCAGGAGTGTGGTCACTATATATTCTCAGAAGAGATCACTTCAGGCTGTTGGTTTCAAAAAGAGGAGATCCATCTCTATCAAACATTTGTTGTCCAGCTTCAGGACCCCAGGGAACCCAAGAGGCAGACTGAGTGGAAGCTAAAACTGCAGAATCTGGGTAATTTGGAAAGAAGTGGTCAAGGGGCCACGGGTACTATTGGACATTGGAGTATGTGGAGTGGTGTTCTTTCCCCCATTGTTGTACATGGGCAGGAAGGAAGAGATAGGGAGGGAATAGGGATGGGGCTAGGAGGAGGGATAAGGGGCACTATCTTCTAGATCCTGACTTGTCTAGGCCAAGGGAATGACCACACATACACACATATCTCCAGTGATCCCCTGGGCTCCAGAGAATCTAACACTTCAGAACCTGAGTGAATCCCAGCTAGAATTGAACTGGAACAGCAGCTACTGGAACCACTGTTTGGAGCATTTGGTGCAGTACCGAAGTAACCGGGATCGCAGCTGGACTGTGAGTGACTGGGGACATGAATGCAACAGCTAAGGTCAAGCAAGTATGGGATTAAGGATTCAATCAGCCAAATAGGAGCCCCTAATATCAAGCTCCTGTTCTTTGCCTCCCAGCTTCTCTGCCTACCACCCCCTTGGACTGCTTTCCCTATCGTCACCAATGAGTTTTCATTTAGGTTCTACTACCTGTAGGCTTCCTGATACTGGATAGACAAGTAAACAAAAGGAAGCCATTCAGGGGATCTGGAGGGGAGGCATTAGATTTAGGTCAGTAAAGGAAGCAAAGGGGCTTGAATAGTCAAGAGAGGAGGAAAGAAGTAGAACTGGGAAGAACCAGAACAGGGTTTCTTTAGAACGGGGAAGAACCAGAACTTGGAAGAACCAGAAGATGACACTGAATTGTAGGTAGAACTTTATTTTGATTCTCACTTCACCTTTCCCTCACTCTCTTTCTTTCCAAGGAACAACCAGTATATCACAGAAACAGCTTCTCCCTGCCTAGTGTGGATGGGCAGAAACTGTACACATTCCGGGTTCGAAGCCGCTTTAACCCACTCTGTGGAAGTGCTCAGCAATGGAGTGAATGGAGTCATCCAATCCACTGGGGGAGCAATACTTCAAAGGGTAAAATGGGCCCAATACATGACCTCAATACATGAGCCTGGCACCCTAGTCTTTCTAGCACGACTGTCTTATGCTTCTTATTCCTAAGCCCCCAAACTTGATGCCCCTTCTCCCCTCACTGTTCAACCTCAACCCCTAGGAAGCACGTTTTTTTTTTTTTTTTCTGTGTAGGGTTGGGTCAATGTATCACCAGAGTAGGGGAGTGGATTGAGAAGGAGGCCAAAGGGTGCTCAAGGGGGACATGGAATGTGTAGGGTTTCCCTACAGCATTCCAGAGAGCCTGCATGGTGAAGATGGCCTTGGAACCAGACTGACCCCTTTGATTCTGTTTCCTCATCTGTAAAATACAGATAGCGATTGTTTCTCCCTCTTAGGGGCTGTTGTGAGATTAAGTTCAGGGAGTGTGTTTAGCATAGTGCCTGGCACCCACATCATCGAGGTGCCACAAATGTAAGGTCCATTTTCCTTTCCTTTTTTTCTTAGGGAATCCTTCGTCATTTGCATTGGAGGCTGTGCTTATCCCCATTGGCTCCATGGGGTTGATTATTAGCCTCCTCTGTGTGTATTGCTGGCTGGAACGGTGAGATTTCAGGAAGATGGGGATAACTGGGAGTAGTAGAAAAGGTTATTTCAGGGTCTTCAGGAGTACAGAACAGGATAGTAAGGAATGAGAGATCACCCAAGAGGGCATGGTGATGGGAGGAAGCTACAAGCACAGAAAACATGAAATCCCTTCCATCCATATAGGACAACTGGGAAAAGGGTAATGAAAGAGATTTAACCTATGCGTTCTTATTCTGGCTTGCTCCCCCACTCAGGACAATGCCTCGAATTCCCACCCTTAAGAACCTAGAGGATCTGGTCACTGAGTACCACGGGAACTTCTCGGTGAGAATGCTGTCATAAACATACTATAGTCTGTCAACTGCCAACTGCCTGCCAGCAAGATGGGTGGTGGGGGGGTTGGACAGAGTGAAGGGGGAGGGGAACCTGCACTAACTGTCAGGATGTGGCCGACCAAATGGGGGATGGGCTAAACAGAGAGAGACACACTGAAGAATAGATTCTGGTGTGTGCGAGACAGATGGAAACAGTGGTATTGGGGGCTCAGGAGTCTGGGTGCCCCTTCTGTAAATCATAGTGATTTCAGACATCATGAGAGCTCCTTTTGGCACAGAGCCTGGGTCTTTTGCTTCCTGACCCTAACTGACCTCTGACCTGGAAATATTTGTCTCTAGGCCTGGAGTGGTGTGTCTAAGGGACTGGCTGAGAGTCTGCAGCCAGATTACAGTGAACGACTCTGCCTCGTCAGTGAGATTCCCCCAAAAGGAGGGACCTTAGGAGAGGGACCTGGGGGCTCCCCAGCCAGCCAGCATAGCCCTTATTGGGCACCCCCATGTTATACCCTGAAGCCTGAAGCCCCAATGCCCTGACAGAACCCCAAGGTCCTGTAGCCTCAAATGATACTAACAATGTTCACTACCACTTCCTGTGGCTAATTTTGAATTCTGTTCCTCATGTAACTTAACTGTCCCTTCACTCAGTATCCCCTACTTTTGAATTGCCCCCTTATTATGTGTTTCTTATCTCCCCCAATCTGGCCCTTCCTTTTTATAGGACACTTTTTCCCTCTCTCCATCCCTTTGTCCATTCCCTCCCCTTTTCCACCTACCCTTCTATTGTTTCTGAATCAATTAAAAATAAAGTTTCTGTTGACAATCATCAAGAAGTCTGTCGTAGGGGTGGGGAGCAGGGGAAACATGGGATACAAGGAATGTGGGAGGCATGGTGCCGGATTAGGAAAAAGGAATAGTTGAGTCAAGTTGGGCAAGTGGTAGTGCTACAAATTTACTAAAAAGGAGTGCTGTTCTGAACACTTATTTTTCTCCATTTAGTTTTGGCACTCATTCCAGAGTCCAGTTTAGAGTTAGATTTGTCATGTTGCTCCCATTCCCCACAAATCTTTTATAGACCCACCTAAGTTCTCTCTTCACACCTACTCTACCTTCTGTTTCTGACCTCATAATCCCTCAACTATAGCCTCAGGCCCCACCCCTAGGGATACTGACTATCCACTTCTGCCAATAGTTCTCTCTCCAGAGTCTGCCCAGCCTGGGCCTCCTCAGCCTATGAGGTCCATCTGTCCCTCTGGTCCCCCAACCCTATGGGCCCACTTGGCCCCCCAGGGCCTCTAGAACACTCTCGTTCTGCATGACTCATCAGGGTATTCTCTGAAGAGTGAGATGACCTTGAAAGCATGTTCATCTTCATCAAACATGGAGGTGAGGGGTCACACAAAGCTGTGGGTAGGGCGTGGGTAGGGTTGAAAGCAGTGGAGATCACAGAGATTGTATAACTAAAGAAGAGCCCGCATGCCCCATCCCATTTCTTCTCAGATAATCAGCAGTTTCTGGTCAATACCAATTGCTCTGTTTTCCCGTTGCTACATTACACTCGCAGTAAAGTGGGGTTGCGTAAAACAGGTGAGGAGATTTGGGAGGGGACTAAGGGCCAAGGGTCAGAAGCAGTAGGAGTATCTGTAGCCCCTAAATCCTCATTCTGATAAGAAGGGGTTTCCTCATATCCCTACAGCTTCCTCCAACTCATTCTGTGTAGGATCACTGGCCCCTTTTGCTTCCGCCTTCTGTCCTTAGCTGTCCCGATTACTCTGTGGCCTCCCTCCAGACACCATCGATTTGTGTGATGAATCGGGGACAATGAAGTTGCTTTTCCTGATGAAGACCCCTGGAGAATATGCCAGCAAATTCCTTACAGCTCGGGACACCTATTATGTTTGTAAGGTGGAGCGTGGGGCACCAGGTAGAGGCTTGGGAATATTACCCAGAGATAGAGCAAGACCTTCAAGATGGATCATGAATCTTGTCCTTAAAGTAGGGCACCTTCAATCAGACCTCAATTGACGATATCTAGTTTAGCCTAAGAAAGGGCACTGCCTCTATGACAATAGGTTATGTTCACAAATACTATGTCTCCCCATCTCAGCCTAGAGTCCATAACTTTCCCTTAGGTCCATAAAGGGAGAAAATAAGGTACACCAACTCAAGGTAGTGCTTAGTGTTAGAGTCCTAAAATCTTGGGCTTCAGAGGGGTGGAAACTGGGTGACAATGGCTAGGGATATAGCAGAAGGCTACGTTTACAGGAACCAAACTTGAGAATGCCTACAGAGCTTTTGTGCCCATTCTGAAGAATCCAGAACCTGAGCTACTTGGTAAGAAGTGTGATGGGGGAGGGAAGAATGTGGGGAATACTGTACATAGCTGTGTGATGGAGAATATAGGGTGGGACTAGCGTACGATGGAAAGTGAGTTCATAGGAGCCTAGGAAAAAGGGGCAAGGCCAGGTGTGGTGATGCACATCTATATTCCAAGCTACTCAGTTCCATAGCAGCCTGAGCAACTTAGTGAGTCCCTGTCTCAAAATAAAAAGGGCTGGGGATGTAGCTCAGTGCTTGCCTAGCATGCATAAGTCCCTGAGTTCAATCCCCTAGTACCTCAAGAAAGGGGGTGGGGACAGGGTCTAGGTCCACTTTAGGAAATTTAAACCAGGTGGATATGTCACTTCCTCCTCCCCCCATGTCTCTGCCATCTTCTCTGTATATCTCGGTATCACTACACCATCATTTCCATCTTAGGCCAGTTTACTCCAGCTGACCATTTGAAAGATGGGATGATGAGGTCTCTATTCCTCAGAGGCATGATTGTCTTTTCCTGTTTCCTAGATGCGCTGCGCACACAATGTGACTTCATGGAGAGGAGCCGAGTGAAAATGCTTAGAACCCTGGAAGCCAAGAAGATCACTCCAATTGAATCCACCGTGAATCTTCCAGTAAGACTCCCCAAACATGGCCCGCTCCAGCACTCCCCTCTCCCCACCAGACCGCTGAAGTTTTCTCCACCTTAGCCCCCTGGGATGGATTTCCTTTTCAAATCCTACACCTATGACCAAGACCTGACCCCAACTTCTATTGTCTTCCCTTTGGCCCCAGTTTGTAGAAACCTCCCCTGTAGGGCCTCTTTGTTTATCTACTGACTTTCCCTTTCCAGTCCAAATCAGGAAGATCAGAAGAAGATGGGCCCCCTCCCACTCGTAGGGGCCCTCCCTTTAAGACCAGAGCAGACAATCTCGGTAGGAGGGATAAACATCGCTAACTCAATAAAGTGACCAAGTGAGAGCAGTAATTCTGGGTATGAAATTCCTGGAATTTAATGTGAAGTTCCTTTTTCGAGACAGACTCTTTCTCCCAATATCTGCACTAAGGCTTAAGTAGGCCCCAGGCCCCGGGGAGGGTGGACGGGATCGGCAGGAGAGGCTCTGTTGCGAGCACATGGGTGGGGGTGAGGAAAGACCGAAGTCTGGTACAATGAGCCTTTGAGGGACGGAGTAGGGGGTGGGGTCTTCTCAAACCAGGCTACCTCCCCTTGGGAGGCCTATCTCGCAGCCCGCCTACTCCTGCTGGGGTTAGGTGTCCCTCCCCCACCATACTCCACTACCTCCCAGGCTGAAATTCCCCCACCCCCACCTATCTGCCTCTGGGCAGTCCTTCCCGCCGCCCTTCGACTTACTTGCCCTTCGCCTTTCCCCCTCCCTCCCCCTTATCCAGGGGAGCAGCAAAGCAGCAGAAACCAGAGCTGGTTATAGGCATTTATTGAATTTATTCATTTATTGATTTGACACACTTCCCCACTCCAATCTAGCACATGATACAATCTGGGTAGGCCAGGCGCTGACACAGGAAATGATGGGAACCCACAGCAGGGGTGGGGGAGGGGACAATGCAAAGGGCACTGGGGGAGGGGCTGCTTTGGGGGCTGGGGTGGAGAAGGAGCCCCAGATGGCCTCCCTGGCAGGTGCTAGTAAACCTGATCCACATTCCCCCCATCCCTGCTCATTTCCCAGACCCTCAGCCAAGCTCCCCAGCTCCCCCTTCCCAGTTCCTCCCCTCCCCCCTGCCTGCTACCACACACACTTCCACATAACCCCTGTAGTCAGGGAAGGGGAAGAAGGGCAGGGACAGCTGTCAGGGGCCTTAAACAGGGAGGTCTCTGTACCTAACTTTACCACCCTAAATCCTTCCCTCCTTCTCTTCTCCCCCCTCCGGCCCCCTCCCAGGCCCCAAGCTAATTCCAGGCCTTCAATTCTTTCTCCCTCAGTATAGCACAAACCCACATTGGGGCATACAAGAGTGTGGCTGTACCCCAATACCACACTCTCCCAGGCACAAGTTGACAGACAAGGGAACATAGTTTAGGTTTTTCCCTGGGGAAAACTCCAACCTATTTATGCATAGATCCTTCTCTAGACCTGGTCCAAATGGGAGCTCTTATCCATCCATGTTCACTATTGCTCCCCACTTCTCCCCAACTTCCCCATGTCTCCTGTAGTATTGTCTGTAGTGTTTGTATCATGTCACTATGACAAAGCCTTCAGAAAGAAAGAAAAAGAAAAAGAAAAAAAAGCACTCTCCCCAATCACTAGCACCTTGCCACTGTTAAAAATCTCTATATTTGTGTTTATAATTCTTTAAAAGTTTATAAAAAGCCTTTCTGTTATCTGTAGCCTTCCAAAGGTGATTGGCCTGGTGAGCCACTCCAGTGCTCAGACCTTGGCCCTTCTAGGTCCCCTGTTCCCCCCACCCACCCCACACCACTGGCCCAAGGGGCCGCTGCATAAAATCTCCAGGCTCAACCTTGCCTGGCCCAGCTCAGATAAGACTCTCTACAAAAAATTCCTGCTCCCAAAGGCAGGGGTAAGGCCACTGGTGACTTCACATTTCCAACAGCATTGCTGGCCCCTGCTACAAAGCCTAGGAGTGGGTATGGGGGGAAGCTGAGGATGGCTCCTGAGAAAGGGCCTTACCCCCTAATTGGCACAGTGAGAATAAACCCTTTTCCCTTTCCCCCTCCCAGCCCCCCTCCCCCCATATTCCCCATCCGGGTAGCTTTATCTTTTTAATTTCCTCGACTGTGTGTGTGTGTGTGTGTGTGTGTGTGTGTATGTGTATGTGTGTGTGTGTGTGTGTGCGTGTGTGTGTGTGTGTGTGTGTGTATGTGTGTGTGTGATTAGACCCCACCCTAGCTCTAAAGCAGGGGTCCCAAATTCCTGGGGAGGACTCAAGGGAAAAGAGTGGATATAGACACGCCTAGCTCCACCTCTGAAGCAGGGGACAAAGCTTTCAGCCATGACTCAGGGATCTGTGGGAAGAAAAAATGGAGGACAAGGTAAGAGATTCATCTGGGGCAAGCCAACTTCCCACTGTTCACATTCACAGCAAGGAGAACTGAGAATCCCGCCTCCAAACACACCCCTTCTGTGCTGCCCTCTGTGGGTACTGGAGGTCTCATTGAGAAACTGTCCCTCCAATGCAACATCTTCTCTAATTCTCCAGGAGCTCCATTTACCCCTTGTTCTATATCTCTCCCTGGCTCAGATAATGGGATGAACTGGGCATCTAGGAATGGGCATAGGTTTTGAGATGCTACAGTAAGTAATTAGGGGGTACCATACCTGGTTCAAAGTTGAAGTCCAGTCCTTCACCCCCATCCATGAGGTCGCTGATGATGTTATCCATGTCACACTCCAGGTTCTCCATATACATATCAAGATCTAAATCCTGAGGCATTCTGTCTTGGCTTGAAGCTTCAGTAGGAGGTGTGAGCACAGGAGTTCCCAGAGCCTTGGGGATGGGAGCACCTCCCATGACTGGAGGTGGTGCCATCATAGGAAGGGTGGGAACCAGACTGCTCGGGCCTGGAGCCTCTAGGGGCTTGGGGCATAAGCCAACTCCTGTGGCCAGCTTACTGGAGGAAGGCATCCCCCCCAGCAACAAAAGTGTGGGAGCCTGGGATAGAATGGGATCTACCTGGGTCATGAGGACATCAGCTGGGGGTGGTGGAGTATCAGAAGTGAGCAGGGCCTCCAGAGACTGGGAGCTTGAGAAGCACCCTTCTGCTGACATGGGCCCCTCTGCTGGGCCGAAGAGAGAGGCGCCATAGGTGTGTAAGGGGGCAGGAACCCCAGGATGCTGCAAAGAGAAGCCAGAGAGACTGCTCCGAGATAGCAGGGAATGGGGAGATGTGAGATTGAGCCCATCTAGCAGCTCGAGATCTTCATTTAGGGTAGGAGGGACACCCCCTGCATAGCTGCTGACTGAGGCTGGTATCTCCTCCTCTGCCAGCACCTCAGACTCTGGCCTCATGGGGGACAGGCGGGTGCTGACAGTGCTAGCATTTGAACTGCTTCGTGGACGGAAGGCGGTCCACATATCAGCTTCTTCACGATTTCGAGAGCAAGGGCTGCCTGACCACTTGGAGAAGTGGCCAATAGGGCTTGTTGGAGTGGCACCTTCGGGTGGAGCTGGCAGCACGGATGGTTTCTTCTTGGGGGCTTTGCTGCGGCCCCGGAGCAGCTTGCTGCTGCTATCCATAGAGGCAGCCCTGCGGCGGGGTGCCTTGCCACTCTTGCCTCCCTCGGGGTTCAGCATCCACCAAGAGCTCTTGCCGGTGGCCTCATTGTGAACCTTGATGAACTTGCTGTGCAAGGACAGGTTGTGGCGGATGGAATTCTGTAGGGGGTAGAGGCAGCAGGAAAAAGAGGCATGAGGTATGTGTAGGTTGGTGGCCAGTAATCTAGTCAAAGGGGAGGTGAGGACATAGCAGGTGGGGTGTCCCAGAGAATAAAAGAAAGTCAAATGTAAGGGGAAAACTGGCAGAGAAAGAGAGGGGGAGGAGACCATTCACAGTTCCCCCTAGGACAAGCAGCACAGTCTCTGCTCCAGACTTCTCTGCACAAGGAGCACCAGAGACAAAGTAACAACCTACTGGAGAGGGTCTGGTGCCCATCCTGGAAAAGTCAGGCTCTGGTGGGTGCCTGGGGCTTGTGGAAATGGAGAAGCCTTACTCCTATTCCAACAAAAACTAGGTTCAGATAGGAAAAATCATTCCATAGGTTCTACCCTTTCCTTGAATGCAGGCTTACATGGCGATTACAGGACAGTGGCCATACCAGCCCAGGACTGACCCTTGCCCTGGGCCAGTTCTCTGAATAGGCTGAGGGACTGGAACTTCAGCACAGCTGCTGCTCCATTCTCCCCCACCCCACACTGGGCATTTGGGTCACCCAGCTCTCCATGGAATTGGAAGACACCCCCCTTTTTCTGAATCCCAACCTTATTTCTGCCAATAGGTGACACGAACCCTTTAACTACATTTACAAGGCACAATCTAACCCTCCTTCTTTTTCCCAGAAGGATCTCCTCTCTCTAAATTGTACTAGTTCATCAAGACCAAGCTTAAGTCCCACCTCTTTTATAAAAGTCTATCAAATTTCGTATACAGTATTTTTAATCTGTTCCACACAATTTTACCCAGTCTATATTGTGTGGCTTATGATTTTGTGTAATAAGTCTCATCAAGTGTAAGTGCCAAGGGCACTGACAGTCCCACAGCCCCCAATGGTGGCTCTTTAGAGCACCAGGCCCACAGTACACTAAGCTCATAGTACAAAATCAATATTTGTTGCCTGATTGGTAGGTGGCCCTCCGGTGATGGTGGTGAGACTCCTTGAGGCTCTGTTGGCTCTTGAGTGCCATGGGTATTGGAAGCCATGTGTTTTATCTTCCTCATTGGTGACGTTCTGCTAGGGATACATACTATTCCCCCCCACACCCCCAGCAGCCCAGGGAGCAAGATCCAGATTGGCAGCTTCTTGAGCCCCCATACAGCTTATTTTTACTGGTTGCCCCAGGCTAGTTAGAGCCAGTTTTGTCCCTCCCCCCCCCTTCCCAACCTCCCTTCCCCCACTACTCCTCAGGAATTTGTGCATAATCTCTACCCTTAGGGGCATTTGACCTCCCACTAGGAGCTCTTTGGAAATTCTGGAGGAGCCTGAGAAGTGCTTGGAGCTTGGAGCAACCTGGAGGCTGAGGCTATGGACAGTCAGAAACCGCTCAAGTGTCTCTGACTGGTTCTCTAAGATAAGGAGACCCTTTGCCTGCAGAAGGCTGCTTGAGCAGCTTTTTTATTTCAGGGCTCTTTTGCCAAATAACTTGACTTTCAGAGACCCTGTCTTCATGACACTCCAAATACTCTGGCTGCACTGATGCTTCTAGCTCCTTCAAGTCTTGGGCTCTTAGTACCTGAGGACCACAGTGACTTCTGGCACCATGATTATCTCCTTTCTCATTCTCTAACTTTGAGTCTACTGAGATGGCCCATTCCTTTTCCTACTACTTAGCACCTTTGAGGCCCATTTGTTCATCTCCTTTTCTTTAGACCTTGAAACTAACAAGTGGGAGAGGTCCAAAGTGGGAGAGGTTAGAAACCCATAATTCTTGAGTGTTGGGGGGTTGGGAGGGGTGACTGCTAATTGCTCCCCAAGCCACCTAATCTAAGCTTTCTTGTTCTAAGTTAAGTGCCGCCCCCTGGTGGGGTGGGAGTAACCTTGGCATGTCACCAGGGAAGTCAATTCAGGCATGAAACTTCCCCCTGGGAGCAGGGTGGGTGCCTCAGAAGCCCCACACTCAAGTCTCAATTGGTTTTGCAATCATTCCAATGAAAGCAAGCCCTGAGCTCCCTAGAGAAATATGATTTACAGTTAGACCTGAGTTCAAGTCCTCATTCTACTGATAGTAGGTTTGTACTTTAATACCCTAATAAGTAGAATGTGGAATCTCAGAACTGCAGTGAAGATTAATAAAATGATTATTTTTGTGGTACTGGGAATTGAACCCAGGGGCACTCTACCAACTGAGCTTCATCCCAGTCCTTTACTTTGTTTTTGATACAGGGGACTTGCTAAATTGCCAAGGCTGGCCTTGAACTTGCAATCTTCCTGCCTCAGCCTCCGGAGTTGCTGGGATTACAGGCGTTCAACACTGTGCCCAGCTAAAATGAAAAATTTTAAAACTATTTTGTAAACTATAAAGCCCTATGCAAGTGTAAATCCTAAGGAGGAATATATTCCCACAGTATAACTAACAACTCATGGTTATTTCTTCTACCCTGGAAAATGAACCTAAGGGAAAAGAAAAACAGCTGTGTAGGCTGGGTCCAAGGAGGGGAGCTCTTTATGAGCTGAGACTGTGGCGTGGCAGTCTACCCAGAAATAGTGCCAAGGGTCTCAGTCAGCTGTCCTGTCTTCTGTTGTGTCCAGCCCCTATGCACACTGCACATCTGATCTCACAATCTTCCATACCTAGGGGAAGACACTCTGCTCATTCCTCCTTCTGTACTTTGTTGTATGCTGACCTCACCACCCACAGAGGTACAAGATGTAAGTTGGGGTAGAACCCCCCCCCCTTGTGATTAGAGTCCATATTTCCCAGGACAATTTTTTTCAGAGTATCTTGTGAGTTCTTTCCCCATAGTTTCTTCGTGGAAGGCCAAGGGAACTCCCAACCTTCGGCTCTAAAGTCAGAGCCCTATCTCCTTTTTTGTGAGTAATATTCCTCAACAGTAAATCAAAGACTTTCCCCCAAAGCTTGGATAGCCCCTTAGAAAGGACAGTTTATAGGCATCGTAGGGCACAATGAGGCAGGTTGCAGTTCACAGACCCTTTAGTGTGTTAGATCAGCTACCTTTCACCATGAATATAATCTTTTAAACTTTTGCCACCCACTCCCTCCTCCTGGGTACAGCAATCCCAGAAGAGTACCTCTACATTGAGTTACTGGGAGGCAAGCAGGGAATCCAAGTAATCCCACAGGAATGGGAGAAAAGGTGTTGGGGTGGAGGTGGGGGAGGAGGAAAGGCTAGGTTGAATCCACACAGTTCCTTCTGCACATAGGATAAAGACTTCTCTGTGGGAATAAGTGTTTGGGGCAGCCCAAGCCAAAGTGCTGGGAGTGTTGAGCAGGGAGTAGAGAATTTGATTTTCTCCAGGCAGGGACAGTGTCTTAATTCATCTGCGATTCTCCAGCATCAAGCTGAGTGTGGCATATACTATGTACTAAGTAAATGTTTGTCTAACTTAAGATTGAAGGTGGATCTCTGGGCTTCCCAAAGGGGTGGGGTGGGATGGTAAAAGGGGCCTCAGAGTAGGAGGTAGAGGTCTAAGAGGCCCAGGGGTAGGTAGACAGAGGTAAGGGGGTCATAGTTACCTTCCATCCTGCTGAACTGTTGCTGTCACCCTTGTCCTTGAAGTAGGGCACCGTGCGGACCATCCACTCATAGATCTGGGCGAGTGTCAGTCGCTTCTCCGGGGCGCTCTCAATGGCCTGACTGATGAGTTCTGCATATGACTGATTTCCCCAGGCATTCCGGCGGGAGCCTCCCTTCCGAGGACCTGTTACAGCCCCCAGGATCCCCGGCTGGGGGCCCCCTGCCGGCTCTGGGAGCCGCGAGGGCAACAGGATCGGCTCTGAGTGCCCCTCCGTGTGTACCTTCTCTCCCAGACCTGGCTCCACCTCGGGCGGTTCGGAGGGCTTGGTAGTGGGCTCTGGTCTAGGAAGGGGCCAGGTGCAGGAACGGGGACGGCTCTGGGGTTCGAAGTCGGGATCGAGGTCTATGATCGCAGCAGCCTCTGTGGCTGAATTCTTATTCCCTGGATCCATACGTGGAGTTGGACCTCCGCGACTCAGCGTTCAGTAAAGCCTGCCACAGTCCCTCACCATGCCTCCCCCCAGGGGGGAAGCACCGAGGGTCAGGAGGCACATTCCTGCCAGTCCCCAAAAAGTCAGGAACTTCTCCCTCGCCCCAGGACGCTAGCCCCTAAACTGTCCCTTCCACAGTTCTCCGATCCTCTTCCCGACTACAGCGTGCAGCCTCTGAGCTCTCTGCTGAGACACCACCTGTAACCTCCGCCTAGAGAAGACACTTTTTCTCCAACCTCTCACTCAGCTTCCTGCTCTTTTAAACCTGAGGCACAGTATCCCCTCATACATTGCGCTCCCATCACCGAACGTCTCCTCAGCCGCAGTTCCCTCCCCCTTTTAAGTTGCTGCCCCCCGGACACTCCTCCCAAATTTCCTCCACCCGGATCACTGCCCTCCCCCACGCCCCGCTCCCCCGCGTCACTT